GAATTGTAGTCATTTAAAAAATTTTTTGTCACTAAGTCATGTGACACATATTTACATTTATTATATATATTTTAAACATACCTGAGAAAAGGTTCTAAAAATAGGTTAATCTCACTCATTGCAAGGACATACAAGCCAATTACATTGGTGTGACATACACATGGCACTATTTTGAATGGCTAAATATTAAGTTGTGGTCATTCAGGCTCAGAGGAAACAAGGTATGATAGAGCCTTAAGAACGGGAGATTGATTCTAACATACTGCAACAGCTATTTGTAACAGAATTTCTTCTCAAAATACAAGTCTTAAAATTTAATTTTAAACTTTTTCTAAGTGGACATTGAACTCAAATGTCCATTCATGTTGGACTGATTGAATATATTTTGGCATATCCACACAAAGTAGAACTATGCAGGTGTAAAAAAGAGAAATGAGAAATATATACACTGCAGGGTGTATAAAGTGGGGAAAAGATGTGTAAAATGCTATTATTTATCTAGGAAAGGGGATATATATGTTATTTTACAAACAGAATAATATTTTAAATGATTTATCTATGGGGGGAAAGAGGGAATATGGGAAAGGGACAAAGAAAATAACTTCCCTAGATATAGAAGTAGCTTGAGAATCATGTGACTATTTTACATTATCAAAATTAAATTTTTAAAAAGTAATCCTTCAAAATTGCAAGTAAAATGAAACTAAATGAATTTAAGCACTGTCCAGTTGTGGTGTAGTCCACGAGGAAGGAACTATCCCAAGTGACTTTGACTCATAGTTAGTACATCCTCGTAGATGTATCCTCAGGATAAAGTTTAAAATCATAAACTCTTTTCGGGAACCAAACTCTTGGTGGGAACATTCATTGGGATAAACCAAATAGGAATAATTAAGACAGTATCTTGGAAGGTGAATTTTTTGACATGTGGTATAGATGTAAGCCTGATAAGGCTATATAAAAACCTTGTAGTTATGAATTTGGAGGTAATAATATAAATTAACATACTTCATCATTAAAAACAAATCCCTCCTCCATTATCCATTGTCAAGGCCTAGAAACAACCAACCCTGTAGCAAGAAGCACCTGTTGTGCCCAGAATGTGATCTCTGCAAACCACTTCTCATTAAAAGAAACATGAGTTCCAAAGAAAAATGGACCATCTTAGATACAGGGCAGAAAATGTACAAGAAGCAGCTGAAAGATCTTGCATGAGGAGGCAGGGAAGTAATTAAAAGTTTATGACGGCCATATCAAAAGGACCAATTTAAAAAGGATCCCTCTGGCCAAAGATGGAATTTAAACCATCACTAATGGTTAACTGTAATGGATTAAATCATATATATTATACTCAAAAAGATCCAACCAATCAACCAAATACATAATAAGCCAAAACAATGTTCATCTCTAATGGCAGAAAGGTACCAACTCTTAATGTGAAAACTGGTAAAGGAAGTAAACAAATCAAACCTATTTATCCCATCTTTCTTATGACTCATGCATGATGCACATAACCAAATGGTTGACGAGATGCTTTTTACATAAACATTCCATACTTGAATATGATAATCAAATCAAATGTCTGAAATTAGCCTCAAAATAATGTGGACTGAGATGAAACACACGTGAACTATAAATGAAACAAAATGGGCCATGAACTGTTCAACAGAGTATGTTAATATAGTGTATATGGGGATTCATAATCTCTTCTCTCACTTGTACAAGTTTGAAATTTTATATCATAATTTTATAGTGTATTATAATTTTATTAAATATGTTTTAAGCTTGCTACACATCGTGACATTTGGATAGCTCTTAGCATCAGCAAAATCCTGAACTATTAGAATATAGCTAATTGGTTCTCTGATATATCCAGCTGCTTAAACTGTAATTCAAAGGTTGAAGTTTTAAGTGAAGAAATTTTGACAAAGTTCATCTTAAGCCAAAGTGATCTATACCCTTATGGTTTTACAGAAAAGGAGCAAGACAACCACCACGACAGTTAATGGTTCAGAGCACGCTCTCTAGAGCCAAATGGTACAAATTAAAATCCCATCATTGCCACTTGCTTGCCATATGACCTTAAGTAAACCATTCTTCATTTTAAAAATGGCAATGATGATGGTAGTGACTTTAAAGGCTAATCTGAAGATAGATTGCAGGTATACAATCCCTTTTCCAAAATCCTTGGGACCATATGTGTTCCGGGGTTTTTTTTGTTTGTTTGTTTTTTGGTAAAGAATAGGGTGTGCACCTACTTTACTACTTAACACCTTCAGTGTGCCCTGCATCAACACGCCATAATCTCATGCAGTATTTCTGCAGAAAATGTATGATTACTCACATTGAATGAGATAAAGCCTTTTCACAGAAACAAAGTAAGCACTATGTTTCCTATAATCAACATGATTGTTTTGAATATGTATTTTTTAAAATGAAGACGGTAATTTCAGGAGACAAACAGGCATAGCATTGTATAAACCTGAAAGGAACACCTCCGTCCCTCACTACATGTAAAAGCAACAAGAGAACTCAATATTAAGCAAATTGCAACACCTCATAAAACCCCTTGCTTAGTAATAAGTTTGTAAAATTAAATTTAGCTTACTTAGAAGCAGAGCAGAATGGGGAATAAATTCTGGATAGCACTAACCGCAAATTCTCTGTGCCACAATCATGGACCACTTAAGAATTCTGGTGTTTTATTTGTTTTGAGAAGTATTCAGTTTTAAGAAGAAAAAAAAACCACTTAATTTCCATTCTATCTTATTAAAGAATTTTGATTTGCTAAAGGTAAAATGGATAGATATTTGGGCAAAAGCTTGTATTTCTTTTTTTTTATTTTTTTAAATGTTTTATTTATTTCTGAGGGAGAGACAGCATGAGCAGGGGAGGGTCAGAAAGAGAGGGAGACACAGAATCTGAAGCAGGCTCCAGGCTCTGAGCTAGCTGTCAGCACAGAGCCCAACGTGGGGCTTGAACCCATGAACTATGAGCTCATGACCTGGGCCAAACTCAGATGCTTAACTGACTGAGCCACCCAGGCAAGTGTCCCTTAGAAGCTTGTATTTCTAAGGATCAAAGTTACAGACTTTGATACATACAGTTTCAAAGGTACAAACTGTATGAACTCAGGGTAACTTATGAAGAGAAAACCATTTATTTTATCTATTATTTCAATACATAACTGTTATAAATCTTTTAGAAGGTTATCCTGACAGTTTGATTTTTTAAAAGACACATCATCCTTACAGTAATTTAGTGGCAATATGTATATTCTCAAAATTGTTTTCCAAAAACATCTTCATTAGAAAACTATCCTTAATACTAGTAACATTCTTCACAACAGAACTCGTAGAAAATTGGGACTTATCCTCATTTTAAAGTATGAATTCTAGGGGAATCTAGGTGGCTCAGTCAAATATCTGAATCTTGGCTTTGGCTCAACTTATGATCCCATAGTTCATGAGTTCCAGCCTGAGGTCAGCTCCACGCTGACAGCCCTGAACCTGCCTGGGATTCTGCCTCCCTCTCTCTCTCTGCCCCTCCCCCCTCAATCTCTCAAAATAGATAAAAATAAACTTTAAAAAATGAACTCCAAAGTGATACAAGTTATATGATCTTCATAAAACAATACTATCTTCAGTCATTGGTATGGACCAGTCTAAATTACATTAACAATCAAATACATTATTAATATTTTAAAGTCTTTATTAAAATCAGATCCATGCTTATTTACATTACCTTTCACTTAGAATTAAAATATTATGTCAATCTGTAGTTTAAATCATACTTTTAGCCCTTTACAAAATATAAGATTAAAGTTGTAGTGTAAAACTGAATGAAACAGTGGAGATTAGATTTTTAAAGAAAAATAAAAAACTATGATACACTAGAAAAAAATGTATACTTAGACAAATAGTAAAATAAGATAAAGGTATCAATAGTCACTTTCTCTTTTTTCTTGTGGATATTTTCTACATACTACAAATCATATACTTTTAATACACATCTGAATAAAATTTTCAATTAAGAAATCAAATGCCAATTGGAGGGATCATGAGAAAAAAAAATTCACTTAAGTAACTCCAAAAACTCATGTTTCCCCAGGTCAGAAGTTATCCCTATTTAGAATATCTTAAATTATAATTCAGATACATTCGGTACATTCCCATATGCTAAAGAGTATACAACTGGAACTTCTCAAAAAAGAGGCAATGGAAAAAGAAAGAAATGGGAGCCTCAATTTAGTTTCCCAAGAGTAGGAAAAACACCTGTCTGTGTTCAGTTGTCTACATATCAACAAGATTCACACCTCTTCTACTCTTTTTTTATATTTTTGAAATTGTTATCATTAGTAGCTTCTACGTTTTTATATTTTTGAAATTGTTATCATTTGTAGCATCTACTTTCTTTCAAGAATAGAAACATCTGATTTCAAGCTATTCTCTTAACCATCAAAATATAAACATTACTAGAATATGGATAGAAACGTTTTAATGAAAAACAGCAAAATATAGCAAACAAAATTCTTTAGGTATTCTGCTGCTTAGTGGAGGTTTTCAAGAAACTTATTCACTACACCTTCTCTCAATATACAAATGTACTGAGAGATCTAAGTATATAATAAAATCTGTATGAATACCCATTATTAATTTTTGGATAAAGGACATAGAGTAGTATACAGCTGAAGCTTTAAATAAATGCTTATGATTTTTGAGTTAAATAAATTGAAAACACTTTTAAAATTTTAAGTTGATTTTATTAATGTTAGTAAGAATTAAGAAAAGAGAATGTTTACTATTCTGAAATTGAAAGGAATAGGTTTATTTCAATCTTTTCTCTACAAGTGAAGACTTTATTTTCTCACTAATGGATATTTTAAAAGAATAATTTTGTAATTCCTAAGCTGCTAGTTTCAAATGCTTAACAGAATTTTGTAACTTAAATTTCCTATATTTTCTAATTCTGTACATTATTTATTGCTATCAGTCTTGTCATTCCTCGTCAGCCCCTGAATATTAAAAAAAAAAAAAAAAATACAAGCTGACAAAAAGCTATTACACTGCTTTTTACTCTAATATATAGAAAATTAATTTTATGAGTTTGGTTCACACTGAAAGAATATTTATTAGTGCTACAAATTAGAGATCCAGGACAGAAATGCTGTCTGGAATACAAAAAGAACAAAAATGAGGTCACTTAAATTGCCCTGAAAAGCATTCCAAATTCTTCAACGTGGCTTGCTTGTAACTATACTCCAAAGCTCTAGTGTTTAAAATTAAACTAAAATTTAAACGTAAGTTTTTATTTCCAAGGCAGCTAAATGACTTTCAGTAATAAAATGTATCAAAATATTTCACAAATCCAAAACAGCCTGGTTAACTTTTAAAAACAAAACATTTGAAAGAAAGCATAGCTATTTTTTAAAGCTCTTCCACACTTTTTGTGTTTAAATGAAGTTTTGAGAAAAAATAAAATGATAAATTACACAGAATTGCAAAATGCCAAATTCAAACTCCTATAACTTCTCTATTTTTATGAATATTCTGTAATATCACTGATTTTTAATGTGCCAAAAATAACACTTTAAAATGTAAGTAAAATTTTTCCACTATCCAATCATTCCTGTATAACTAACTGCATGGTTATAGCTTTTCCCAGAGAGATAAAATTTGTACAGACTTAATTATAGAATCTGGGTGAAATAATTTCATGGGCCACAAAAATTTTAAAGTTTAAACCATTCACCCTTTAAACCTCAGATAGTGTCAGTGTGACTTCTACTTAAAAACAATTAGCTCAAAATTTAACAATTGCATAAGGTTTAGTATTTTTTTTACTAGAAGACTTAATGTCCATTTTCATGAAGTAGTAATTAGGTATGTTGAAGTGTGAAAGATTTCAAAGTTTTAATATGTTAATATCACTCTTTAAATGTCCTTAATATATACAAACACATATAAATTAGAGACACAATTAATATTTACAATACCACATATGAACACCATTCTCTTTCCCTAACTATCCGGATATGAGGAAAAGTAGTTAATCTCTGTGCTTTCAAGACCCAAAAAAAAAAAAAAGAAAAAAAGACACTTTAAAAAATAAATCTTTAAAGAATAGTTTCAAAAATAAAGTTCAAATATTGCACAAAATAATTTAACTGCAAATATTACTATATACTATAAAATAATTTTTTTCAGTTTTTGATCTCTACAGTAAATTCCACTCTAATTCTATAAAAGAATTTATTGGAAGTCTACATTTAGATATTAAATGTTTACATTCAGTATGATGGGAATGTAATATGCAGAAGTTAACTGAGTCTTTGTCTTAAAAGTTCATCTATTTGAGTCTTATACATATTTTTTACATCTTCAAGATCTAATCGAAGTTCTTCTGCCTCTTCTGCTTTCTCTCCATACATCTGCAGAATAGTGTTGTATCTCTGATCCAAATCCTGCAAAAAATATATGTACACTATTTTTAAAATAACTTTATAAAAAACATCCTTAATATTATATTTTTATACAAGTCACCGGTTCACCAGTAAACACATTACAATCTAAATAACACTATAGAGTCATCTCTTATAAAAATTAAACTGATACTCCAATCCAATGGAATAAGTAGCAAGTAAAGGAATAAAAAAAAAAGAAAAAAAAAACTAAGCCTGAAGGCTATCAATTTTGTCATCTATGTCCACTATTCTTTAATTCTCCCCATATAAAGCTTAATCTGTCTTTTCTCCCATTAGCATACAAATTTTAGTCCTTCTGGTTCATTGTGGTTTAACTATTACCTGGAATTTACCCCACAAAAAAAGCTAGAAGAAAATATACTCTCACATATGGCTTAACAGTAACTCCTAATACCAAATATGCAAATTGCAATGATACATATAACATCAATGCACAAAATACTAATAAGATCTTGTAAAAGAGCTATATTATAAATGAGCTTTGATCAAATAAAATCTAGTTATTTTCCTCTATTAGGGCTACACATGGTTATGAAAAATACTTTGTATAATGTGATAAGCAAGAAGATTCTTTAAATTTCTTTATTGAAATATTAATACCAGTTTTTGAAGAAATCATTAACTTACACATATGCATTTTCTATAAACAAAAATGAGATTTAGCACAACTGGATAAAAATATCTTAAACTTATTCCTAAGTGAAGAATACTTACTCTTAGCTGAGTTCGAAGTTTGGGTATCTCCTTTACCTTCTCTTCAAGTTCATCATTTTGATTTGTTAGTTTAACTAGCTCTTCAGCCATTATTGAGCGTGTTTTTTCTAGATTGCCAATTTCTAGCTGAGAAACATTACCAAAAAGTGATTTAAATAAATATATACCTTGTCTAACATAAACATAATATAACATAATCTCACTAATATAAATATATTCAGTATTTTTTTTTAATGTTTATTTAAGGGGGGAGGGGCAGAGAGAAAGGAAGACATAGAATCGGAAGCGGGGTCTGAGCTGTCAACACAGAACCCTAGGTGGGACTCAAACTCATGAACCGTGAGATCTTGACCTGAGCCAAAGTTGGATGCTCAACCAACTGAGCCACCCAAGCGCCCCAATATTATTTTTGAAAAAATAGATATGTCAATATATAACTATGAGCTAACTCTTTCTTAAGGAAATAGTAGCAAAAATAAGGCTTTCTGCTTTCCTCAGAGGTAACCATTCAGAGGGCTTACTATGAAAGAAAGAGAAAAAACTAAAAAAAATACAATCATGTTTGAAATATGCAACCCTATATTTTTCTCTAGCCAAATAACATGTATTTTAGTTACTCTAAATTACTACAGAAACTCAGAGAAATAAAAACATACTTTAATGTTGCCCCAGCTGTGCAGGTCATATTGACAGAATCTATCATCACTACCAAATAAGTTAATATGGGCTGTCAGGCATAAAACACTGGGCTACCCAAACATAACAGGTATTAAAATTATTGGGTTTTTTTCCGCCCAATTCAAAAACTTCTTCTTTAATGGAGTAATATTTTCAACTAACTAAAAGTATATAATGAGAATAAAAGAGAAAAGATTTACTTCTGAGTGTATCAAGTTTAACACTGAAATTAGGTACATCTCTCACATTAAGTTTTTAAAAAGCAAGGTAAGATGGGAGGGTGCTCCTTCCCTACTCATGATGTTTCCTTTCATGTGCAGGATGTTACAGTTCTCATCTCTCTCTTATTCTCTACTCCTTGCTCGCAAGAGGGAAGCAATTAACCTAAATGGTAAGTTTGGAAAGAATAAAATGACGATGTTCAGATCAGCAGCTTCCCTTTTTGTAATGTTTGGGAAAAGGTGCCTACAAGGAGCTCTCTGCTCTCCTAGATGCTTCCAAGTCTTACCTACAGCCAGCTACAGCATATGGGGAGGCCCACTCCAGCCCAGCATTTGCTGTGCTGCATGGAGTAGATAAGCCTCCCTAATTCTGCCAGTCCGTTAGCAGGCGCATTTGGCTCTCATCCTTCGCTGATTTCTCCAGTTTACATCATTGATAATATGTGAGACGTTTTGAACTTCTTATGTGACCATTTCACTTTATCTCTCAGTTTGCTCAGAATTGAGGTAGAAGTGAAGGGTGCTACTTATTTTGTTTACTTCTATAGCACATTTAATTTTTCCAATACCTGTAAATGAGTAATTTCTCCTTCCTTCAGCTTTAGCTGAGACTGTAGATTTTCAATAATGCTGGATCCTGCTCCCATTCTTACAGCATCATAAAGATTGTTTCCATTTGCTGATAAAGACATTGGTCCAAATGAGTGATCATGAGGCTCATCCTATATTAAACAGACCACATACAGTGATTCAGTTATTACAGACTGAGTTCCATTATAAAATTCAAACAAAACAGTTCTTGTTAATTCTTGCTTTAAAATGTCTATAACTTTCTCAAAGACAAAAAATCATCTACAGTTCTTCAGTCCAATTAGCATTCCTTCAAGAATATTCAGATGAGTTGCCTATGGAATTCTGATAGCCAAATGCTACCTCCATTTTGATTTCCTTTATCATTATGCAGTTTATTTTTTTAAGTTGTATTTATTTATTTATTTTGAGCAGGAGAGGGGGAGGGAGGGGGAGAGAGAGACAGGGAAGGGGAGAGAGGGACAAAGAAAGCTGGGGGAGAGGCAGAGACAGAGAATCCCAAGGAGGCTCTGCAGTGTCAAGTGAGGAGCTCACGTGGGGCTCGAACCCACAAACTGTGAGATCATGACCTGAGCCAAAACCGAGTTGGAAGCTCAACTGACTGAGCCACTCAGGTGCCTCATCATCATTCAGTTTAACAACCAGGCACATGTAAGAAATAAAACATTACCTGAGACAGAAAGGATGTCTGCAGCCCTGCCATATCAACTCCACTTATTGAACTTGATCGTGAGATTGTGGGAGTACTAGAAACAGAAAATGGCTTCCGTTCCTTAGGGAGTAAAAAAAAAAAAAAATTCAGATCACATTAAAGACTTTATAAAATGGCAAATAAGTAAAAAACTTTTCTAGGATAAAAGACAACAAACACTCATTGTAATTTCCTCATAAAAAGTTACAGATAGGATAGCTTAAGTCTTAGTAAAGGCACAATACTTTATAATTTAAAAACTATAGACAGACTTGATCAAACCATCTCAGGACCCATTTATACTACAACAATTTATTTTTAAGGGAACGAAAATGTTTTTGTTCTAGCAAGTATATGAACTAACTTCTTTATATGATTATACATTACGTATATAACATAACCACCAATTAAACCTAATTCTTTAGAATAAGGTTACTACTGAGTTTTACAAACCACAAAATTTCTGGCTTATCTGTTTTATTTTTTTCTAATGTTTATTTATTTTGAGAGAGAAAGAGAGAGTGCAAGCACAGAAGGGACAGAGAAAAAGGGAGAGTAAGTATCCCATGCAGGATCTGTGTTGTCAGCACAGAGCCCAATGCAGGGCTCGAACTCACGACTGGTTAAGATTATGACCTGAGCTAAAATCAGGAGTCAGTTGCTCAACCAAATGAGTCACCCAGGTGCTCCACATTTTATTTTTAATATGTATTTTAAAATTCCAAGTAAATTCAAAAGGTAATTTCTGTGTACATATAAGTAGTTTTAACATAACATGCTATCTATCAAGTATAGCCCAATCCTATACAGGAAACTCATTTTAGAAAAATTACCTTCATTAACCAGAAATAAAGAGAATAAACTAGTTTTATTCCCAAGGTGCCTAGCGGCCAAATGAGGTACACTAATTTCAGTGAGAGACCACAAAATTCATTTAAAACCAGGGGAGAGCTTCTGTAATTCAAATCCTAGAAATCACTAATCCATTTGAATAAGCTCAAATTACTTTGGACCCTGACAGGCTATTGACTGTAACTGATAGGCTACTGACTGTAACATTAGAATTTATCACTCTAGTGATGTTAGACATAAGAAACAATATTTATACAGCTAAAATTATATAACAGTGATTAACAACAACAGCTACTAACTGGTTACACCAAAAAAAAAAAAAAAACCAAAACCAAAATTCAATACCTTTTCTTTGACAGCTTCTTGGGTGAAAATTGCTTTCTTCCTTTCTTGTTCAACTTTCATTTTCTCCATTTCTAACTGACTATTCAATAGTGTCTAATGGAGAGAGAGATATTTAGGTAACTTCTGTGAAGCTAAATCATCATTGTAAGTCAATTTTAAAGTCAAGAACATAAAGTATACGTTCCTAACTGTTTTACCACTAAAGACCAAGTTCCAAAAGTAGTCATATCGCCCATTTCATCATGGCATCTCATTAGTTCATTACCACCCCCAACCATTCTCAGGTAAAAGCCCTAGAGGTGAGCCAACACTGCTAAATACCTTTTCTTTCCTGGTCTCTTCAAGTGTTCTTACATATTCATCTTTTAGGCTTTCTAATTCAACCTGGTACCTAGTAAGCCAGAGAGAATTAAACAAAACAAAGATGATAGGTACAGAGTAGTGAAAACTCGCTACTTTATTAACTCTTTAATAGTCATTTCTATTACCAGCTTGACTTTCCAACCATATTTGTCAGATGATGTGGCTTTTATACTCAGAGGCCACACTACTACTTCTGTGCATTTTATTCTATTGCTGCTCTATGCTACGATTTAATTTAAAAAGAGACTTTCTAAAAAGAATTTTGAATACCACCATTCAAAACAGGTTCAGATTCTGTAAAAGCTTGTTAGGGAGTTCTTTGAAATATTTATAGACGTTCAGGTAATTTATTTCATAAATCATTTTTACTTTACCATTTTTTTAAGTTAAAATTTCTAAGGAAGAAAAAGAATAAAACCACACTAATAACAGCCTTAATAAAAAGGCAGAGAAATGCCTTTTATAGCTTATGGTTCCAAAGAAGCCAGATATTTATTTAGAAAGACTGGAACAGTGCTAAGACCCTTTTAAAATATAAAACTATAAAAATAACTCCCAATGAGTGGTCTCCAGACTATTTGGCAATTACAGATTCCTTTAAAAAACCTGATTAATGAATCCTTTCCCTGGAAAATGCAAATACATACAGAACATGCCACACAATTTCATGAACCTATGTAAAGTTCAGGGAATCCCAAAACCACCTTGCTGTAATATTCTATTACTAATGATTCTGACTGTAAACACTTCAACTTTTTTTTTTTACGTGCCTTAAAATGTCACAAAAGTACCAAGAATAACACTCAAAAAACATGCTCACCTACTATTTTCATCCTCCAGTTTTCTTAGCTTATTTTTCTCTGCTTCTAGCTGGGCCTGAAATCTACTATTTTCCTGCCTCAAGAGAGAATTCTGTGACTCCATGGATGACATTTGAATTTTGTTGGCAAGGAGTTCTTCTGTAGCTGCACGTTCTCTTTCAACTGCTGCTGCCAACAAGGTCTGGGATTCACCTGATTGAAGGATACAAAAGAAAAATCACATATATCCAAGAGGCCATAATATCAAGTAGATTCTGACTTCAAACAGATAATGATTCAAGTAGCCAAACTTAAATCTGCTGATTGCTAAAAGCAGGACGGCCTCCAAGAGACAAAAAAATGAATCTTAACTTAGATCTGCTTTATTATTTTTTCCTCAAAATACTTTAATTTGTATGTGGAGTCACACATTTTAAAAGATCAACAAATGATGCTGGAGCAATTGGATATCCACATGCAAAAAGAAAGAAAAGAAGCTCAAACTAGACTTCTACCATATATGAAAATTAACTCAAAATGGATCATAAACTTAGGTGTAAAACAAAACTGTAAAACATTTAGAAAAAAAAACACAGGAGAAATCTTCAGCAACTAGGGACAGGCAAAGAATATTTACATTAGACACCAAAAGCAGAGCCATAAAAAGAAAAATGGATAAATTGGACACCTTCAAAATTTTAAATGTTTGCTTTTCTGAACAGGATAAAAAGACAAGCTACAGACCTGGAGGAAAAAAATGCACACCACATTATCTAAGTCTAGTGTCCAGAATATATAAAAATATGTAAAAAAGTCTCAAAACTGAATAGTGAAAATAAAGACAATCCAATTAGAATATGTGCAAGACATGAAAAGTTATTTTGCTGAAGAGGATATAGAAATGAAAAATAAGCACATGAAGTTATATTCAACATTAGTCCTTAGGGAAATAAAAATGAAAATCACAGATATCACTACACACCTGTCTGAGCAACTACAAGAACAAACAGGGGCAACACAACATGCTTGCTGGCAAGGATGTGGAGCGACTAAATTCCTGTCATACCTACAGCCACTTTGGAAAAAGAGTTTGGCATTTTTTAAAAAAAACTAAACACAGAACTACCCACACAACCCAGTAAGTGAACATTTAGGCATTTAGCCCGGGAAATGAAAACATGTTCACACTACAACTTGTACAAGAATGTTACAAGAACTGTATTTGTATGAAAAAATCTAGAATGAGCCCAGATACCCTTCATTAGGTAGATGGTTAAAGAAAATGCGCTACGCACATACCATGGAAACACACTGAGCAATGAAAAGACTAAATCACTGATACACACAGTAACTTAAAGGAACTTCCAGCCAACCCCAAATTGTCACATAGTAATATAACATTTTGAAATTCCATAATTTTACATGGAAGACAGATTAGTGATTGCCAAGATTTGGGACAGGGAAGAAAGGCTGCAAGGGTGGCAAAGTGAGGTTCTAAAAGGGCAACATAAAGGAACTTTGTGGTGCTAGAAGTGTTCAACATCTTGAGAGCAGAGATGGGTACACAAACTCACACAAATGATAAAGTTGTGCAGAACTTAATACACACACACACACAAATGAGTACCAGTAAAACTGGTAAATTCTGAATAAAATCAGTAAACTGTATATCATGTCAACACCCTGGTTGTGATACTACACTATCATTTTGCAGTGTTAACATTTGGGGATGTTGGATAAAGCATGCAAGGGACCAACTGTATTATTTCTTATAATTGCATATGAAGCTACAATTATCTCAATAAAAATTTCAATTAAGAAAAGATCAGTGCATATAACTCTTGAGATTTAACGAAAAGTTCTGTTTTTTCCCCCATGAAAGTAGACTTAAAATACTATCTCTATTTTTCACCATATATTGTTACATTCTGTATCTGTGCTCCTATTTTTTTTTTTTTTTTTTTTTTTTTTTAATTTGAGAGAGAACGACTTAGAGGGAGTGATGGGCTGAGGGAGAGAAAAGAAGATCTTAAGCAGGCTCCAACCTCAGCATGGAACCCATCACGGGGCTTGATCCCACAACTCCTGGGATCATGACCTGAGCTAAAATCAAGAGTTGGATGCTCAACCAGTTGAGCCACCCAGGTGCCCTTCTGTGCTCCTATTAAAAATAGTATTTATTATATCTGTCCTTTGGCTGTGCCTATATTCCAGCACAATACCACATATCAACAAGGGTATGCAGACTCTAGTTTAAAAACCACAAAAATAATAGCTTGTAGTATTAATTTATTGCAAAATAAATATTTGTTTCAGGAGGTGTCATTTTCAGATGTCTCATTTTCATAGCGAATGGGTCTCAATAACAAATGATGGACCCCAAAACTTACACCTACAAATTAAACAATATGTAAGGGTTAATTTAGTTCAGTGATTATTTTCTTAAGCAGATGAATCTTTTGAGACATATCTCAAATGGAAGTAAAAAAAAAAAAATAGACAAAGGATGCACGACTTTCACTATAGTAGCCTGGAGGGATATAGCAAGCTCCTCTTTTTATAGAGCTTCCCTCTCACCACACCAGCTAGTCCTAAGACATCTAAGGGATCTAGTGAATACTGTTTGAAAACGATGAATCTAGTTTACGCTCATGATTTACAGAAACACCCATTCAGGCTTGCTTTTATCACTAGACCACAGTGTCTCTCAAATTACAGTTAGTTTTAGGCATAGAATGGACACATGAATTTTTCATGAACTTCCCAGCTTCTGGGATATCTAATATGCATATGTCATATACATGTGCATATATGTACATGTACTAGTCTGTGCTTGCATAAACATCTTAGAATAATTATTTTCTTTAAAAAATTTTTTTAAATGTTTATTTAATTTTGACAGACAGTGCGAGCAGGGAAGAGGCAGAGGGAGAGAGAGACAGAATCTGAAGCAGGCTCCAGGCTCTGAGCTGTCAGCACAGAGCCAGACATGGGGCTGGAACTCATGAACTGTGAGGTCATAACCTGAGCCGAAGTCAGATGCTTAACTGACTGAGCCACCCAGATGCCCCAATAATTATTTTCTTAATAACATCACAGAAGAGCAACCTGGGGCATTTCTATAAAGACTCTAAAGACTCCAAATCATCTGTCTAGTAGAGTTTGATCAGGATCCTCCTTAGATCTATCTCTGCTCCTGGAATTCTACCAACAAGAATCCTATCTGATCTCTACACTCTACATTATTGTAGACAAGCTAGAAAGGGGTCAGATTTAGCAGCAGACAAGGAAAAAATGAGTGTAAAAATCTGTAAAAATGAAAGGATGACAAGGAAGTATTTGGGACAGTATCTGGCACACTGTGTAAGGGAAAACAAACGGTTTGAAAGAGTCAATTAGGATATTAGAAAATAAATGTAAAAAAGGAGAAGAGGTAAAAATTTACCACTTAGACATAAAATTTAACTATCAGATCAAGAGAATTTCAATTTTATACCATTATTCTAATTCTTTAAACAAGCTTCCAAATGGAGCTTAAGAACGAAAGAAATCAGTTACCAAGCCTATCAGAAAGATTCTTCTCTAACTTCTCCCATGATGATGTCTGGGACCCTAGAGTTGCTTGCAAATTTTCTATCTGTCGAAGCAATGGTCTTGTTGTTGATGAAACACTTTGACTCAGCTCTTGGTTTCGATTCTCTGCTTCCTGAAGTCTCTGAATGATGAAATTCTTAAGTCATTACCACTAACATCAATAAAAACTCTAAAAACACTAGCAAACAAACTTTATGAGAGATTTCTGGAAAATATTATTTCCCCAAGAAAAAGTTATTTACATTATTTTCTAATTATTCAATGTTTGTATTAGAGTTATGATGCACAACAGTATCTAAATAAGTGCTTCTTTACAATGTTTTTAGAACGTAAAGATAGCTTTTGATTACATTAAGGTAAAAAAAAGACTATCATCCAAACCTCTCAGCAGTTGCCTCATCACCCAAATATTTCTAAGTATTTATAAAGACAGAAAGATCGATGTGAGTTGCATTTTCTCTCCCTTTTCCCATTCATGTTCACTTACTGAAAATTAACAGAGAAGTGTCAGATCTACCTAATAGTAATCAAAGACTGTTAATAAACTAGCTATCACAAATCAAAAACAATTCTGAAAAATACATCACAATAAAATTATTTTCTATAAAAAAATTAGGATTTTTCATGTTTATTTTTTTAAGATGCCAACTCTGATTTTGTTCATGCAAGCTACAAAAATAAAGCAAATTCTAAGCATGGGAGTAATCCTCTCAATTCCATGAACATTTTCCCTACCGAGCCATTTTTTATTTCTAGGAAAACACACCTTGGTTTTGCGTTTAGGAAAACTGTGACCGTACCTGCTGGAGTTCACTGATCTCATGGCGTAAATAATCCTCTTTTCTGGCAGCCGCCTGTTCTGCACGTTGCAGTGCCAGCCTGAGGTCTCCCACCTATATGAGAACCAGTACACACTAGCATAACAGTAACAAAACGTTACCTACAACTTCCTGACTATATACTGTGCTGTGCTGACTTACTGTTTATGTATAATACTTCTACTATCCAATGAGCTTTTTTACATGATTATCACACATCCCATTCATCAAGCAATTCTAAACTTGATGCACTTTTAGCCCCACCTAAAAAAAGTATATAAATAGGTACAAGGCACAGCCACTGTACAATACAGGAGAGACAACGCATCTATAAATGTTCGCAATGAAAAGCAGAATATGACAGCTATAAAAGCGAGCTGCTACTCATAATACATACCTGCAAATGTAAACTGCTACACTATTTTTGTAAAACATTATGGAATCATGTTTAAAGAATCATAAAGTTTTACACCTTCTTTCACTTGGTCATCCTAGTCTTGAGAATTTACTCAACAGAAGCAGATAAAAACATAAAAGGTACTCCCCCCTTTGTTGTTTAGCTAGACTAGCAAAAATAGACAAAACAGGAAATATTCTAAACATACATCATTAGTAATCTATTTTTGCAAATTTTGATACAACATGAATATAATGTTCCCATTAAATTTATGATGAATGTGGCTGCCTGGGTGGTTCAGTCAGTTAAGCATCCGACTCCTGATTTTGGCTTAGGTCATGATCTCACAATTCCATGAGATTGAGCCTGTGTCAGGCTCTGAGCTGACAGCATGGATTCTCTCTCTTCCTCTCTCTCTGCCCCTCTCCCACATATGTGTATGTGCATACTCTCTCTCGCAAAATAAACTTTAAAAAAATTATGATGAATATGAAGAAAATGTAAAAACTTACAATTAAATCTTATGTGAAAAACTGTAATAAATATGATATCAATTATTTAAAAATACATAGAAAGGTAAGAACAAGAAGTTAATACACAAAACTGACATTACTTACATAAGGTGATAATTGTACCATATGCTCTCTGTCTCCCATTCCCCCACTTTTTATTATTTTTCTAGTGTATATGCAGAGGTACATAGGTGAATTTATAGATTTGTGTATTTTCTTGCATTTACAAACAGAAACAGTGGAAAAATAAACCAAACACTGATAAAATGGCTATGTATAGGCAAAGAAAGGGAATGCGGAGGAGCTAAGTTGGAAGCAAATGTTGCAATATATGGTTATGTAGTTCTCACTTTGAAATAATGTAAATGTTCTACATACTTATATAAAATTAAATCGAAACTGCATTGGGGTCAATGAGGAAAGAATGATCTTTTCAATAAATGGTACCATGCAGCTGGATATGCGTGTGCAAAAAACCTAAATACGAGAGCTAAAACGATGAAATTCTTGGGGCACCTGGGTGGCTCAGCTGGTTAAGTGTCCGACTTCAGCTCAAGTCATGATCTCACGGTTCGTGGGTTCGAGCCCTGCGTCGGGCTCTGTGCTGACAGCTAGCTCAGAGCCTGGAGCCTGCTTCAGATTCTGTGGCTCCCTCTCTCTCTGACCCTCCCCTGCTCATGCTGTCTCTATCTCTCTCTCAAAAATAAATAAAACATTAAAAAAAATTTTTTTTTTAAACTATGAAATTCTTAGAAGGAAACAGGTGAAAACCTGCATGACCTGGGGCTAAGCAATGGTGTGTTCAATATGATGCCCAAAGCACAGGCAACAAAAGAAAAAAACAGAAAATAGACTTCACCAAAATTTAAAAAACCTGTACATAAAGGACACGATCAAGGAAATGAAAGACAATCTATAAAATGGTAAAAAATATTTGCAAATCCTACATTTGATAAGGGCCTCATGTGCAGAACACATAAAGAACTCTCACAATTCAACAATCTGAAAATGAGCAAAGGATAGGAGTAGTTGAATAAATTTCTCGAAAGAAGATGCGATAAGATATAGCCAGTCAGTAAGCACATAAAAAGATGTTCACCATCATTAGTTATTAAGAAAATATAAACAAATATACCACGAGGTATCATTTTGTACCCACTAAAAGGGCTATTAACAAAAAAGACAGTAACAAACAAATACTGACAAGATACAGAGAAACGAAAACCCTCACATACTGCTGATGGGAATGTAAAATGGTGCAGCTGTTGTGTAAAGTTTGGCAGCTCTTAACAAAGGTGTATATATAGGGTTACCAGACTAATCTAAGGGTATATGTCTGAGAATTTTACTTATTTAGTTAGTTAGTTAGTTAAATGTATGTTTACTTTTGAGAGAGAAAGAGAGCTAGAGCACGAGCAAGGGAAGGGCGGGGAGAGCGGGAGACACAGAATCTGAAGCAGGCTCCAGGCTCTGAGCTCTCAGCACAGAGCTCAACACGGGGCTCGAACCCACAAACTGTGAGACTGAACCGAGCCAAAGTCGGAGGCTCAACCAACTGAGCGCCCCAGGGGCCCTGAGAATTTTTTTAACAAAACGTTTGAGAGAGAGACAGAGCAAAAGGAGTGGAGCAGCAGCAGAGGGAGACAAAGAATCCAAAGCAGGCTAGAGGCTCCGAGCTGTGAGCACAGAGTACGACGCGGGGCTCGAACCCATGAACCACATGATCATGACCTGAGCCAAAGTTGGAGACTTAACCGACTGAGCCACCCAGGTGCCCTATGTCTAAAGAATTTAAAATAAATGTTTACACAAAAATGTGTACACAAATGTTTAGAGCAGTATTATTTGTAATAACCAAAAGTGAAAATAACCCAAGTAGCCATCAACTGATGACTTCGTAAGACAAAGCCTGATAAATTTTGGTTTTCCTCCCTTATCTGAACTGTATGGACTCCCACAGTTGTTATGAGTAAGCTTAGGAGTTATATGGATTCTTCTAACATTATATACAATGTCAAGTATTTATCTGCATAAGTACAGTAACACAGTCTTTGCCTTTCACAATATTCTCTAGTAAGCTGGAAATTCACAAAACATAAGCAATACTAGAATAATGTAGGTATGATTTTAACAATGGTAAAAAAAAAAAACACACACACACACACAAAACTGGCATAATACAGTACTCTTAGAAAAGTGTCCAACAGGATTAGAAAGTAAATTTAACACATGTACCACTACCTAAAATTTTATTCAAACCAGCTAATGTATTATTTAATTTGTAAAAGCACAAAGTTTTTAAAGACTAATTTAATTATTATCTATTGCTTACTTGAATCGCTAATGTTTCTTGCTGCTGACGAGCTTCTTCTTGGGCCTTCTCTAGTGCTGCAGAAAGTTCTTCTTTGGCTTTCATTTCACGACTTAGAGCAGCTTCCTGTGCCTCGCTATCCTTTGCAGCATTGGCTTTATGGAGATCAGTAAGTTCTCTTAAAAAATTGGATTGATAATTTTTATTTAAATTAGTTAATTACATGACCAAGTTAATCAAGTTTGCATGTAGATTTTCCTAAGAGCTACACAATGAGGGAAGAGTCCCCCCCATCATAAACACTTATCACAGTAAGGACTCTCCCTGTTGAACTTGCTATGACCAGTTACAAGTCCATATATAGCTAAGTTTATAAATATTGTTAGTGATCAGATAACAGAAAGAGTATTTTTTCAACATCCTGTTCTGATAATTGATTGTAAATGGGTTGTATATTTGTTCAATTTCTTACTTGTACGCACTATCCAGAGCAGCTTGAATACTTCGGTTCTTTTCTTCAAGTTCATCCATGTCTACCTGCAGTCGGCCTAGATCCTTCTCTTGGCGTTCTACCACAGAATTTAGTTTTTTAATGCTTTCTCTATGCTGTTTCTCAACCTCTTCTTTGCCATCAAGGACCTATATTATAAAACAGACACAAGCATTTTTCAATTAATAACACCATGGTAAAAAATTGTATTCCAGGAATCTTAAGTGTTACAGTCATGAAGAAAAATCTTAACTATCATCTATTAAATTGCTTGACAAATTCTTCCCATGATATATACTGATAAATTATTCTAAAAATTTTATAAACCATGGCCAATTGTTCATATAGGAAGTAATAACAATAAAAATATTTATATAATAGTTAATATTCACCTGTTTTAAATGTTGCAACTCTTCTTCTAGCTCTTTAACTTTTTTGTTCAGTTTTGCAATAGTATTTTCATTTTCTTTGTCTTTAGCTCTTAATTTCTTAATAATGTTAGAATTATGCAGCTGCTGTTTTGAAAGTTTTTCTCCTAGCAATGGCAAAAAAAAAAAAAAATTTCAAATAATGATTCCTTGAGAATCTGGATAGCATGTTTGACCTAACCAGTGATATAATATGATAGAGTATTTTTAAAATCACAATATTGTAACCATGAACATTAAAGTGATTTGGACAAGAAACATCAATAAATGCTAAAATTACTAGATGGAAGGGTGGAAGGTAACAGGATTTTCATAGCTTTAAAAAATCATTCCCACAGGCAAACCATAAGAGACTCTTACATAACAGGGAACAAACTGAGGGTTGCTAGGTGGAGGTAACTGGGGGAATGGACTAAATGGATGATAGGCATTAAGGAGCGTTGTGCTTGTGAAGCAAAATGTACTTGCTACTGGGATATGGAGCCTCATGAATTTAGGAGTGAACTGCATACTCAATGCAGTATCTATCAAAAGTCCAATGGAATTATTTCTCAAAAATTTTTAAAAATCCTAAAATTCATATGGAATCACAGAAGACCTCAAATGGCCAAAGAAATCCTGAACAAGAACAAAGCAGAAAGTATCATATTTCCTAATTTCAATACATGTTACAAAGCTAGAGTAATCAAAACAGTATGGTACTGCCATAAAAACAATAGACCAGCAGAACAAGATAGCCTAGAAAATTCACATAGAGTTCAGAAATACATTTACAGCCAAGTGATATTCAACAAAGAGAGCAAGAACACACTACGGGGAAAGGGAAGTCTCATCAATAAATAGCACCAGGAAAATGAAATAGGACCACACACCAAATACAAAAGTCAACTCAACATACATTAAAGACTTAATATATTTGAAAGTGTAAAATTACTAGGAGAAAAAAATAGGGGACAAAAACTTCTGACATTGGTACTGGCAATGATTTTTGGGTATAGATCTCAAAAGCATAGACTACCAAAGCAAAAATAGATAACTGGGATTACATCAAACTAAAACCTACTGCACAGCAAAGAAAACAAATCAACAGACTGCAGAGATTCCTCCATCTGCAGAATGGAGGAAAATATTTGCAAGCCATGCATGTGATAAGGGATTAATATCCAAAATATACAAAGAACTCCTGTAACTCAGCAGCAAAAAAGAAGCCAATTAAGAACTGAGTAAAAGGTGTGAATACATTTTTCTCAAAAGAAGACATATGAATGACCTACAAGTATATGAAAAGGTGAGCAATATCACTAATCACCAGAAAAATGCAAATCAAAACTATATGAGATATTACTTCACAACTGTCAGGATACCTATTATCAAGACAAAAGATAAGAATTGGCAAGGATATGGACAGAAAAGAACTTTGATATACTATTGGCAGGAATGTAAACTGGTATAGCCATTATGGAAAACGGCATGGAAATTCCTAAAAAATTAAAGACAGAACTACTATATGATACTACAGTCCCACTTCTAGGTACACATCCAAAGGACATAAATAAATCCAGTATCTCAGAGATATGTGCACTTTCATGTGCACTGAAGCATTATTCACAAAAGCCAAGTTATGCAAATAACCTAAGTGTCCACCAATGGATAAATGAATAAAGAAAATGTCCTATGCACGGAAATGCAAAGAATTTTAAGATAATACTATGACAATTATATATGTGAACTGGACAACCTAGAAAAAAATGGGTAAATTACTAGAAACATAAAACATTAACATAAAATCTCCCAAAACTGAATCAGAAAGAACAAGAAAATGTGAACAGATTAATTACTAGTAACACAATTGAATCAGTAATCAAAAGACTCTTCCTCTCAAACAGAAGCCCAGGACCAGATGGCTTCACAGGTGAATTCTACCATTTAAAGAAGAGTTAATGTCTATTCTTCTCAAACCGTTTCACAAACAGAAAAGAAACTTCTTTCAAATTTATCCTATGAGGTCAGTATTACCCTGACACCAAAACCAAAGACCCTTAAAAAAGAAAGCAACATTAGGCCAATATTCCCGATAATGACAGATGTAAAAATCATCAACAAAATATTAGCAAACTGAGTTCAACAATACATTAAAAGGATCACTGACCAAAATCAAGTGAGATTTATTCTAAGGATGCAAAGGTGGGTTTAATATTTGCAAATCAATCAACATGAAACATCACATTAACAAAAGGAATGATAAAAACCATACGTCATCTCAATAGAAGCAGAAAAGGCATTTTATAAAATACTGCATCTGATCATGATAAAATTCTCACAGTGGGCTAGGAGGGAACATAACTCAACATAATAAAGGCAATATATGAAATCTGTAGCCAACATCATATTCAATGGTAAAAAACTGCAAGCTTCTCCTCTAAGACCAGGAATAAGACAAGAATGTGCATTCTTGCTTCTTTTATATAATATTGTAGTGGAAGACCTAACTGCAGCAAATAGACAAGAAAAGTAAATAAAAGGCACCCAAAGTTGTAAGGAAGAAGTAAAACTGTCACTATTTAGAAATGATATAATACTATATAGATAGAAAAGCCTGAAGATTCTATCCAAACAACTATTAGAATAAGTGAATTCAGTAAAATTGCAGGATACAAAATATACAGAAATCTGTTGCATTTCTATACACTAATAACAAAGTAGCAGTAAATTCAGTTAAGAAATAATCCCATATACAAGTGCATCAAAAAGAATAAAATACTTAGGAATAAATTTAACCAAGAAAATGAAAGACCTATACTATGAGACTAATGAAAAGAAATTGAAAACAACACAATTGGAGAGAGATACCATGTTCATGAACTTGAAGAATTAATATCGTTAAAATGTTCATACTACTGAAACCAATCTACAGATTCAATGCAATCCCCATCAAAATACCAATAGCATTTTCCACAGAACTAGAACCAATAAGTCTAAAATTTGTATAGAAACACAAAGACCCAAATAACCAAAGCAATCTTGAGAAAGAAAAACAAAGCTTGAAGGTATCATAATCCCCAATTACAGCTACAGTAATCAAAATAGTAGGACACTGGTATAAAAACAGACACACAGATCAATAAAACAGGATTGAGAGCCCAGAAAGAAACCCATATTTATATGGTCAAATAACTGATGACAGAGGAGGCAAGAATATATATTGGGGAAAAAATATTCTTTTCATAAGTGGTACTGGGAAAACTGGACAGCTGTATGAGCAAGAATGAAACTGGACCACTTTCTTATACCATACACAAAAACAAATTCAAAATAGATTAATGATCGAAATGTGAGATGCAAAATCATAAAACTCCTAAAAGAAAATATAGGCAGTGGGGGCACCTGGATGGCTCAGTCGGTTAAGCATCCGACTTCGGATCAGGTCATGGTATCATGGTTTGTGGATCCAAGCCCCAGGTTGGGCTCTGTGCTGACAGCTCAGAGTCTGGACCCTGCTTAGGATTCTGTTTCTCCTGCTCTCTCTGCCCCTCCCCCGCTCACTCGCATGCACACTCTCTTTCTCAAAAATAAACAGACATTAAAAAATTTTTTTAAAAAAAAAGAAAACATAGGCAATAATCCCCTGAACATCAGCCTTAGAGTATATTTATGAATATGTCTCCTCAGACAAGAGAAACAAAAGCAAAAATAAACTGTTGGGACTACAACAAAAAACTTTTGTACAGCAAAGGAAACCATCAACAAAACAAGAAGACAGCCAACTGAATGGAAGATATATGCAAATGACATATCCAATAAGAGATTAATATCCAAAATATATAAAGAACTCATATAATTAAACCCTCCTCAAAAGCAATCTGATTAAAAAATGGGAAGGGACGTGAATAAACATTTTTCCAAAGATATACAGAGGGCCAACCGAAACGTAAAAAGGTAACTAATCATCATTACTAATCATCAGGGAAATGTAAATGACAACCACCATGAGATATTACTTCACACATTAGAATGGCTATTATCAAAAAGACAAGAAATTACAAGTGTTGAAAATTCAAATAACATGGGCTTCTTCAAAAATTTAAAAGCAGAAATATGCGTTTCATGAATCCCCTTACACGGTATCTACCCAAAGAAAGGGAAAACGCTAATTCAAAGAGATATAATGCTCTTTGTATATTGCAGCATTAGTTACAAAAGCCAAGATATGAAAACAATCAAAGTGTACAATGATAAATGAATGGATAAAGAAGAAATGGTGTGTGTGTCTATGTGTGTATACATACATACATATGATGGGAGTATTACTCAGCCATAACAATGAGTTCTTGCCATTTGCGACAAAATAGATGGACCTACAAGTTATCATGCTATGTGAAATAAATCAGATAAAGAGATATACCACAGGATTTCACTAAAATGTGGAATCTAAAACACAAAACAAGCAAATAAAAAAACACTCTTAACTACAGAAAGAAAACAGTGGTTGCCAAAGGTGAGGTGGGGGTAACGTGAGGGGTGATATAGGTGAAGAGGATTAAGAGGCACAAACTTCAAGTTATAAAAAAGTCACAGAGATGAAAATTATAGTATAGTGTGTATAGTCAATAATATTGTAATAATGTTGTATGGTGACAAATAGTGACTGTATTTATGGTGAACACTAAGTAATGCACAGAATTTCTAAATCACTATGCTGCTTATACACCTGAAACTAATATAACATTGTGTACAGTTATACATCAATATAAAATATTGTACATACAAATGTGTAACTTGTTTTTGCTATCTAAAATTGTGACTATTTTCCCAATTCATTAAAAACTCTAAAAAAGAAGGGGTGCCTGCGTGTCTCAGTCAGTTAAGCCTCAACTTCAGCTCAGGTCATGATCTCATAGTTTGTGGGTTCGAGCTCTGGATCAGATTCTGTGCTGACAGCTGGGAGCCTGGAGCCTGCTTTGGAGTCTCTGTCTCTGCCCCTCCCCCACTGCACTCTGTCTCTCTCAAAAATAAACATTAAAAAAATTTTTTTTAATTTCTACAAAAGAAAAAAGTGGCATGTGTGTATACATTATTTAGCCTTGAAAAAGAAGAAAATTCTGTGATTTGTAATAACACGGATGAAACTGGAGGTTTAAATTAAGTCACATTCAGATACTACATGATCCCATTCTTATGTGGAATACAAAAAAGTTGAATTCATAGAAGTACAGACTAGAATGCTAGTTACCAGGGGAAATGTGGAGATAAACGGTAACAGGTTTCAGTTAAGGAGGTGAATAAGTTCTTCAGATGTAATGTACAGAATGGAAAGTTGATAATAATACTATATTCTACACTTGAAATTTGCTAAGAGAATATATCTTAACTATTCTTCTCACATAAGAAAAATTTTAAGTATGGGGTGCCTGGGTGGCTCAGTTGGTTAAGCGTCCAACTTCGGCTCAGGTCATGATCTCACAGTCCATGAGTTCGAGCCCCACATCGGGCTCTGTACTGATGGCTAGCTCAGAGCCTGGAGCCTGCTTTGGATTCTGTGTCTCCCCGTCTCCTGCTCTCTATTTGTCTCTGTATCTCAAAATAAAGACATTTAAAAAAATTTTTTTAAAAAAAGGAAAATGATGGGGCGCCTGGGTGGCTTAGTCAGTTAAGCGTCCGACTTTCGCTTAGGTCATGATCTCGTGGTTCGTGGGTTCGGGCCCCGCGTCGGGCTCTGTGCTGACTGCCAGCTCAGAGCCTGGAGCCTGTTTCGGTCTGTGACTCCCTCTCTTTCTGACCCTCCCCTGCTCACGCTGTCTTTATCTTTAAAAAAAGGAAAAAAAAAAGAAAAAAGAAAAAAAGGAAAATGTTAAGTACATGAGGTGACTGATATGTTAATTAGTTTGACTGTGGTAACATTTCACAATGTATACATTATCCAAAAAAATCACATTGTGCACCTGAAATACATACAATTTTTATTAGCAAATTATACCTTAATGAAACTGGGGAAAACAAAGAATTTATGAGTGGACTCTTATACCTGTCACTTACATTCAAATGGTTTGGCAAAAGGGAAGTATATGTGTATGCAGGAATGTATGAATCAGGTGTGCCTAGATGTTAATAAATGATGAATCGAGGTAATTATGTAATCTGTTATTTACTGTAGTGTGCTTTCAACTTTGAGTCTGCCAGCTTTTCAGTTGTGAATTTAAAAATAATTCTGGGGGATACAGAAGCAGTAAATAAATGAACCCATATGAAATCACTCCATTTTTCAGTATAAAGAATTTCATTAAGCAAAAAAAAAAAAAAAAAATCAACACACCCCCTGACTAAATTAATAAAAGCCAAGTAGTGACATTTGATATAAATATTTTTTATTTTTATTTTTAGAGAGAGAAAAAACAAGCAGGAGAGGAGGTGGGAGAAAGAGAATCTTAAGCAGGCTACATGATCAACACGGAGCCCAGACACAGGACTCAATCCCACAACCCCAAGATCATGACCTGAGCCAAAACCAAGAGTCAGATGCTCAAACAACTGAGCCACCCAAGTGCCCCTTGATATAAATATTTAAAATAATTTATTATTTTATGAAACCATGCACACAGCCTTTACCTCAATCTCTAGTGCTATAATAAAGGCAGTTCATGACCTCAAGATGATGTGACATAATGATTGTGTGTTTTATCAATTCTCCATTCTTCTATTATAGTACTTAGACTGTGTTTTACATTATCTGTGTACTCATATTTCTCTTTTGCTAAACTGTAAGCTCCTAAAGGATAAGGGGCGTGTCAAATGTATTACTGTATCAAATATAGTATCTGACATACTGGTAAATATTAGCTGAATAAATGAATAAGAAAAATTGGATAAAAGTAACTTTTTGAAATGAAGTGATTGTTCCAAGTTGTTTTCAAACCCTCTGGAAATTCTCTTAAGTTCAATGATTTAAGTACAGAAATACTCATCCCACCACTATTTACAATATTAACATTTTAGAAATAAATGCATAATATTAGGAAAATAGTAAAACAGTAGTATATATAGCCATACAATGGACTTTAAACTTATTTTTAAGTTTATTTATTTTGAGAGAGAGAGGGAGAGAGAGAGAGAGGAAGGCAGAGAGAAGAGAGAGAAAATCCCAAGAAGGCTCTACGCCCAGTGCAGAACCTGATACAGGGCTCAAATTCACAAACTGTGAGATCATGACCTGAGCCAAAGTGAAGATTTGGATGCTTAACCAACTGAGCCACCCAAGTGCCCCTATAAGGGACTTTAATATGGCCTTTAATAATGGTAGCAAAATTATTTAGTAGCAAGGGAAATGTAAAAGAAGGAAGATTACAAACAAAATATGTGACCTTAATTATGCTTAACAATGTATTAAAAATGCATTAAAAAAGGACTAAAGAAATTAACAGTTTCTTGTAAAACTCAATTAAGATCTATTTTTTCTTCCTACACCTCCTAAAACTTCAAAAATTTCTGCAAGTAGCAAGTGTAATTCTTACAAATAACAGGAAAACGGGCACCTGGGCAGCTTAGATGGTTGAGTCTCCAGATCTTGGTTTAGACTCAGGTCATGATCCTGCAGCTTCATGGGATGGAGTCCCTCAGGGGGCTCTATGCTGGCAGCATGCAGCCTACTTGGGATTCTCGTTCTCTCTCTCTCTCTGCCCCTCCCCCACTTACACTATCTCTGTCTCTCTCAAAAATAAAATATAAATAAAGAGGAAAAAATTCATTTAATCTCCATTTCTAAAACTACCTTCTTTCTTATGAAATTACATAAAGAAATTAATCCAGTGTCAATTTATAACATCTAGCAAAAAATATTTAATTTCTATAACCCTGCTAATTATGTTTTTTCATAGAGTACTTAATAACTGAAAAACTAAGATAAGAATATAATGAAAAGTTCACTATCCAATGCTCAAATATGATGATACCACACAGTACCCAAGCTAGAGATTCAAATACTATATAAACTCCAGAATTATAACCTCAAATATCTTGGTTTAAATGACAGGCTATAGGGGCGCCTGGGTGGCTTAGTCGGTTAAGCGTCCGACTTTCGCTTGGGTCATGATCTCACGTTCGTGGGTTCGAGCCCCGCATCGGGCTCTGTGCTGACTGCCAGCTCGGAGCCTGGAGCCTGTTTCAGTCTGTGACTCCCTCTCTCTCTGACCCTCCCCTGCTCACGCTGTCTCTCTCTCTCTCCTAGAAATAATAAATTAAAAAAAGAATTAAAAAAAATAAATAAATAAAAATAAATGACAGGCTATGAAACCTGTTAAAAGATTTTTTATGGAATCACAAACATTTCTTTTTCAGCAAGTCATTTTACCAAGTACGTGTATGTACGTAAAGGCTACATACACGTGTCTCTGACTCTATACATACTGCTCCCTATTTTTCCATAAATTGTCACCTACCATCTCTGAGCTTTAATCACAAAGCCTTCTTGCTTCCAATATTTTTTATTGGGAAGCAGTAGCTACTCATGTGGCAAATATTCTTCCTATTTATACAGTATTTTTCAGAATCAACTAAATATTTTACACACCTTCTTCCATTAACCCTCGGATCTGTTCATCTTTCTCTTTCAAAAGTTCTGAAGTTTCACTACTATTTAATCTAGTAGCAAGTTCTTCTTTTATACTTTTGATTTCCTAAAAAAAAATTAAAAAAGGAATGTGAATACCATAAAGAATTACTTTCATTCTGGGCATATTTTTCAATTTTTCCATATTCAAAGCAGCCATCAATAATCACATTCTCAATAAAGATCCATAAGTTGTATTTTGTTAACCTGTGTTTATTACCTTAATTAAGTAAACAGCTTCAAAACAAGATAAAAGGCCTGAATTCAGATATAAAGAGGTTTCAGTATAGTAATGCAAGTGAGAATAAGTTAACTTTCAATATCTTTCTTTCTTGTTTCTGTACAAATTTTCTTCTGATCACGTATTTGGAACATTTCAAACAATACATGTCTCCATTTTTCACTTTATTTCCTTTTCTCATCTAAAACTTCCTGCACTTGTTAGTGCATTGTAAAATGAAGAATAACATAATTATATAAGGTACAATCTACTTTAATAAAGCAGAGATTTAGCAGAAACATGTCAAGACAGTTAATCTTTTAACACCACAATGGAGAAGTATGGTGATGTGAAAAGTGCTCTAGGATTTAAAATTTGGTTTTAAGCAATGATCTGAAACAACAGCTAAAAACAACTAACATTAGGAATTTAAACTATGCTTTGTATCCATAATTCTATTTTCACAACAATCCTATGATGGAGGTACTTTATTCAACTACACAATTAAAGACTAAATAACCTTTGAAGGTCAGAGACCTACTGAGTTTAACTTGGAGTTTAAATTGAAACCAGGTTTATGAATGCCCAAAGCCCATACTCCGAGCCATCCACAACACTGCTCGGCATTTTCCAACTATCAAAACTTGATTCATTCATCAAGCCCAGTAAGACTATCCTGCCTTCCATGAAACTTCCCTCAATTCCCCTGGTCAAAATTCATCCTCCTCGGGGCGCCTGGGTTGCTTAGTCGGTTAAGCGTCCGACTTTCGCTTGGGTCATGATCTCGCAGTTCGTGGGTTCGAGCCCTGCATCGGGCTCTGTGCTGACTGCCAGCTCAGAGCCTGGAGCCTGTTTCAGCCTGTGACTCCCTCTCTCTCTGACCCTCCCCTGCTCACGCTGTCTGTCTCTCTCTCTCTCCTAAAAATAAATAAAACATTAAAAAAAAAAAATTTTTTTTAAAAATTCATCCTCCTCTATATTATTCCAAATTGCTTATTCATCTTTCTCTGTAATTTACTTCATTCTGCCTTGTGCTGTCATATAGGTGTTGACATATCTATTTTCCATCACTAGAAAAGCAAAGTCTTTACTTAAGGTTAATTCAATTCACTTTGAATTTTCTATGGATCTTAAGTTCATATATTAGTACAAATAATAAACTTAGGGTCCAAGCTTTTTCCACCTACAGTTAATAGTCTGGGTCTACCTTAGATCTGTAATTCAAAGTACATTACAGAAAACAAACATTACACTAATTAAAATCTAATTTCTCAGTTAGACTGGTCCAGATGGAATACAGTATGGAAAAGAAGAGGTAAATTAGTTAGGTTGTCTGAGGTTACTGTTAGTGTCTAAAATGAGCAAGAAAGTATATCATTTAATTCTCTTCTTTACGAGTATACTAAAAAATAAAGGTTAACATCAACACTGGTCAAGAAAAGCAACTTAACTGAGAAGGGCAAATGCTGAGAAATGTTATTACTAATAATGGAATAGTAGAAATAATTACTAACCTTACTTGGCTACCAATTGCTGAAATAGCCAATTGTTACAAATTATAAGAATTAGAACAATTATTCCCAACTAGGAGTGATTTTTCTCCCAACGGGACATTTGACAATGTCTGCCAACATTTTTAATTATCACAACTCTAGGAAGGGGGTGGTGGGTGCAGAGTGGGAGATGGGGAGGTAAGGGTGACCCTGGCATCTTGTAGGTACGGGCCCAGACACTGGTAAACACCCTAGAATGCACAGTACAATCCTAAACAACATAAAATTATGCAGCCCAAAATGTGAATTGTGCTGAGAAATCCTATATAAGAATAAATCAATGTTCTGCCTCACAAGACTCACTAACCATTACAATATTTTACTTTGTTTCGTTTTACTTAAGTGTTTATTTATTGAGTTTGAGAGAGAGGCAGTGAGCAAGGGACGGAGAGAGAGATAGGGAGAAAGAGAATCCCAAGCAGGCCTCACACCATCAGTGCAGAGCACCATGAGGGGCTTGAACTCACAAGCCTGAGAGGTCGTGACCTGAGCCAAAATCAGGAGTCAGGCGCTTAACCGACTGAGCCATTCAGGTAACCCTACAAATTTTTATTTTAAAATCACTCTGACTTGGGGCACCTGGGTGGCTCAGTCGGTTGAGCGTCCAACTTCGGCTCAGATAATGATCTCACGGTTTGTGGGTTCAAGTCCCGCATCGGGCTCTGTGCTGACAGCTAGCTCAGAGCCTGGAGCCTGCTTCTGATTCTGTGTCTCCCTCTCTCTCTCACCCTACCCTGCTCACGCTGCCTCTCTCTCTCTCTCTCTCTCTCTCTCTCTCTCAGAAATAAATAAAACATTAAAAAAAATAAATAAAATAAATAAATGAAATAAAATCACTCTGACTTGAACAAGTATATATGTTTGAAGTGGTTGGAATGTAACAAATGAAAGTAATGATACTTCTTAAAAAATTTATACAGTGTCATTTAGATTTTTTGAAGTTTAATTAAGAGAGCACACACATGCGCACATGAATGGGAGAGGTACAGAGAGAGAGGAAGACAGAATCCCAAGCAGGCTCCATGCTGACAGCACAGAGCCTTGAACTCACAAACCGTGTAATCATGACCTGAAGAGAAACCAAGAATCAGAGGCTTAAGCCACCCAGGTGCCCCAAGTGCCATTTAGATTTAAATGCTATTTATTTTGATGAAATTATCACTTATGAAGTTATTCTAATGATCCTTGTTATATACCTTGCAAGGACTTACAGATAAATGATACAAACATTTGCTTAGATTTTTTTTAAAGTATCAAAAATCTCTAAGTCTAAAAATATTGAATAAAAATCTATAATTTAAGTGTTAATATACTATATGGTATCTTTTTTATTTTTGAGAAAGAGTTCATTTAAGATAGCACACAAGTGGGGGAGGGTGCAGAGGGAGAAACTAACGCAGGTTCCACGCCCAGCAAAGAGCCCCACGTGGGACTCCATCCCATGACCCTGGGACCATGACCTGAGCTGAAATGAAAAGTCAGACATCCAACCAAGTGAGCCACCCAGGCATCCCTACTATATGGTATCCTTTAATTTTACTTATCTTTTCTCTTTTTTTTTCCATACTTAAATATTATGAATGCATTCCTCAAAATCTGTCTATACAGAATTTAATTAGGATTATTTTTAATTTCCATTACCTTTTTAGCAGCATCTCTCTCTTTACAGGCTAGCTGAACTTTCTTTTCTGCTTCTGCAATTCTTTGAGTAAATTCATCTTTCAAGGAAGAAATGCTGCTGCTTTCCTCTTTCACTCTGAACATTTCACTAAATTAAAAATAATAGACAGAGGTAATGGTTTACATATTTCTAAGGTAACAAGATGAGTTCAGCTTGCAAAAGGAAAATAACACGGTCTTCAACATATACCTTACTTAAATAGGTTAGATTTAAGCCTGTTAACATTTAAGAGAAAAACTACCTGCTTAATTTATTTTAAAACATCTCAATAACAACCCATTAGAAATCCAAAATGTCCCCAAAATTTGATGTATAAAAATAACAAAACAGTAAAATTTTTCAATTTTGAATATATGTTACATTTTATTAATCACCTCCTTAAAGCAAACAAATATTGTGGGTTTTTCTTAATATCATAGTTTTCTTTAAATATGTGTTTTTAAATATCTAATACTAAAAGGGAAAAGGTTTTTTTGTTTTGTTTCACAAAAGACCTCTCTTCAAGCCAAAGGTAATATGGTACAGATAATTTGAGGAAAAACCTCTACATATATAACTGAATGCTACTGCATTTTCAATTACTGTAAACAGGTTAAATTTTAAACATTTTAGTTTTAAAAACATTCTTAAATAATAACTTGATATTTGGGCCTTTACAAAGCATATAATTATTTACATTTGCAAAATACTTACTCTTTCAGATTATCATACGCTTCTTCCAGAAGTGCTTTTTCTTTACTAAGAGATAATAACTGAGCCTCCCTTTTATCCAGTTTCTCATTCAGAAATTCGACCCTCTAAATAAGGAGAATACACAAAGTCAAACATTAATAACCTTCAAAGACTATTTTTACATGCAGGTGATGAATTGTAAAAGTAATCTAATCAATATAATAAATAAAAGAGTATTATTTCATAAAAAGAATTAACAATAATGAGAACATAGTGGATTGAGAACAACAAGAACTCAAACACAGCTGGTAGAAGAGTATAAATTAGTACAAACACACAACTGGTGGGAGTATAAATTAGTAAACCACTTTAATATCTCGTTGAAGATCTACACACTGTTTAATGTAGAAAATTTAGATATACTTTAGAGAAGAAAACTCCTGCATTAATATACAGGAATATTTACAGCAGTTTGTTACCAAAAAAAATCTTAAAAAAGGTATGCATATCCCACAAAGGAGGAATGGAGACAAAGAAAATTTTAGAAAAAGGTAAAGGCTTCAAAGCCTTTAGTAATATCCCGTATCTTCTCTGGGTAGTGGATACACAAGTGTCCCTTCTTCCACATTATTCTTTAATCCAAATATGTAATGTGTAATTTTTTTAGTATGACATATCGCATTTAAAAATAAAAATAATTTTTCAAAATCCATAGGCAAGTAACTTTAAAATCTCCAGGATATATCAGTATAAAACTAAACAAAAAGGAATGATAACAGTATATTACTCCTTAGGCCTTGCTGATGCAGCGAAAAGCTGGTGTATGAGGGGAGGAATGATGCTGTTTGCACTAAAAAAATAAAGTCTTACCTGACTGAGGTTTAGATTAATTTAGAAATCACTTACCTTCTGAAAGTAGCTCAAAAATATCTTATTGATACTAAAAAGTGCTGGTTTCAGCCATTCAAAGTGCTATTAAAGCTAGAGCAGGGCATTTTGTTTGTGATTAATATTAAACCTAGGTAACAGAATCTGAAACTTTTTTTTTTTTTACATTAAATAATTCAATACATGGCACTTACAGGACATTTCTTCAAGACATCCTATATCTCAGAGGAGTCTATTAAAGATGCCAAATCCAACTCAATTTCTATATCTAAAAATCATAGGAAAAACCAAAACTGTGACTGAATGTTAAAGAATTTACACCACTTTCCTTTTATATGTATTAGATAGAAGCAATTTGTCATTCCTAAGCAATGTTTTTGTTCCTTGGACATTTCCCATTCTTATTCATGTTAAGATAGCTAGCAGGGAAACATCAAAGTAACATAAAAGAGAAAACAAGCAAGTAATTAATAACAGAAACACATCAATAATTAATCTAAAGGCTAAATTTTTCATTTAAGATTTGCTACAAATAATGTGAACATGCAAAACAAATTTTGGTATAAAAAACCCATATAGTATTTACATTCGTTTCAACACCTTTATCGGCAAAGGCTTTGAAGATGTACGTTACCATAAATCAATCCTTTGCAAAATGACAAATTAATGAGCACAGTATACAAGAATTGTAAGGTGAGAAGACTCAATAGTAACGGCGCAAGATGAAAATCTTTCATTCTTAGTTTTATTGAAATATCAACTTATGTTATCACAGTTGCCTCAAAGACATTTCAAATAATATAGTATCAAAAATTCTTCGATTTTAAAATCCTTAATGCCACACCTAAATGCCAAAATGCTTATCTTTTTTAATCAGTACAAATCATTATGCAATACTGAATGTTAAAAAACAAACAAGATAATAAATAAACAATGATTTAATCTCTGAAAAGCATATCCAAAAATCCCTTTGCAGTTTCTAGATTTACCTTGAAAACATCTTCCTTCTCAAAGTGTGCTTCTGGCTTACTTTCAGCAGTTTCGTGCGGCTCGGCCACTTTGTCTGACACAGTATGTTCCTCACTTATCGGTGTAGAAGAAACCAAGATATCAGGTTGTTCACAATTAACAGGTGTTGCACTTCGTCCACTTTCTTCCATTTCCGTTTCTTCAGTGGGTACAATTAATGTTTCATTCACTTCTTCTTCAGATTTTCCTTCAACAGATTCAATTACTTTAGTCTTTGGAGTTGAAGGATTAACTATAATAGGTACCAGAGCATATCCTTTGCCTGAAAGTTCATCATCTGAATTGATTTCACTTACACTACGGCTATCTAATGACTGCACACTAAACGAGTCTATTCTTTCAAAAGCATCAGATGAACAGCAACTCTCAGTGAGTTTCTGGAAATCATCTAAACGATTATATTCAGGACAAGCAGATGCTGAGAGAAGCTGAAAAGATGTCTGCATCAAGTGAAGACTTGATTTTGAATCTGTCGTCTCTTGTCTCGAACTTGCTGAGCTCTCACTTATTACACTTTCATGATCTAAAACTTCAATGTCACTGGTGGTAGAAGTACCAGACGAGAAGGTACTAACAGGAGGAGAAGGCGTGTTACTCTGTCTGTCTTCATGTTTTTGTTCCTTAGGTTCCAAAGCCATGTCCTTTGTTTCTGCCGTTGACATATTAGGTGTGTTTTCTCTAGTTGTTTTCACATTAATTACACTTTCGGACACTTTCAAACGTCCAGTTGATACCTTCATATCAGATTCTTTATTAACAGTTTCTTCATGCTTGCCCTCAGGTTTAGGCGACAGAGTATCTACTGCCAGAGTTTCCCCTGATACACATGGAGTAGAGTCTTTCACTTTTGATTCAGTTGTTTCAGAGGTTCTTGATGGTCCAGTGTGCAAGGATTCCTGCAAAGTGCTTTTTACTTCTTCTTCTGGTCGTTGTGATTTAGCTGGTGGTTTTGATACCACTGGACTCTTCTGAATGGTCTGAACATCCGTTGGAGAGAGAAAGGCACTGAAGAAATTTTCAGATTCATCTACCACAGTTCTCCGAACAGGCTTTGTAATTGCTTTAGGAGAGGCTACGGGCTGACTCTGAGGTTCACTGTTTGACTTTAACCCCCAGGTTGAAGTATCCCATCCTCCACTGACAGGGGGACTTATTCCTTTGATTAAAAAAATATATATACATATGTTACAAAAGAAAAAATATATTCATTTTCTGTTAATATTACAATGATTATAAGTCAACACAGGGTTTAAAAATAGGAAACCAAGGGGCGCCTGGGTGGCTCAGTCAGTTAAGCGTCCGACTTCAGCTCAGGTCATGATTTCACAGTTCGTGGGTTCAAGCTCCATGTCGGGCACTGTGCTGACAGCTAGCTCAGAGCCTGGAGCCTGCTTCAGATTCTGTGTCTCCCTCTCTCTCTGACCCTCCCCTGCTCATTCTGTCTCTCTCTCAGAAATAAATAAAACATTTAGAAAATTTTTTTAAAAAAAAGGAAACCTATGGAATACAACCTATAATTTGCACCTATTAGGCTACCTGCTTATTATATGATCACTTAGTTCATTCTTGAACTTTAGGCCTTAATCTTTAGGCCCAATCTACCTCTGGTAAATTGGTGCGGATCTGTCCAAACTAGGAACCAGGAGCAAAGGTAATCAAAATGGGCTTGGCCTACGAGGAGCAAATATGTTATTCCCTCCCACTATAAATTAAAAATGTAATTGTATATGTTACATAACTTATGCTAAGTCTAAGATACACATGATGGATCTCACAACCAACAGGCAGTACCCTCACTTATAGGTCACGTGCACTCACAGCAAATTGACCTGACCTGCTGTTCAGTCAGTTTCTTATTAATCATTCTCATAATATCAGTAATAAAACATGGTTATCAGCTGGAAAGAGGGTAACATTAAAAAACTGAACCCAACATATTAGCGACCAATGTCCTTTTCCAAAGATCAAAGTAAATTGATGGGAACAGTAACTTCTAGAGGACAAATTCATTTTCATCCACTTAAATAACAAGCTCACTCTCCAAGTGCCATTCTCCAAACCCACGCTGTGAGAAAGTTTTGTTCCCTTCCTAAACCACAAATGATGTCAGCAATTAGAAGGTCATATGAAATTCAGGGGTGCCTGGCTGGCTCAGTCAGTGGAACATGTACCTCTTGGGTCTCAAGGTTGTGGGTTCGAGCTCCATGTTGGGTATAGAGAGTTCTTAAAAATAAAATCTTAAAAAAAAAAAAAAGTCCTATGAATTTCAAAGATATGCATTTTGAAAGAATTATTGTTTTATACAGATGGTAGTTTACACTAGGCCTTTTTAAAAACACCACGGAGAAAATAACTATCTTCTGGGTACAAAAGGTAATTTAGTCAGAGAAATACATGCTACTAAAAAACCCAACGATAAACAAAAAATGGCATATTTGCTAAAATATTAAAGCATTTCTTTACAAAAACAACTTCCTTTGCAAAACTCAGAAGTGGCTGAGCAGAATTATCATAAATTCTGCACAATTAGACGTTCATAGGGATTGGGTAGTTCAGTCAGATAAGCATCTGACTCTTGATCTCAGGGTCTTGAGTTCAAGTGCAGTGTTGGGCTTCATGCCCAGACCGAACACTACTTAAGAAACAAAAAACAAACAAACAAAAAGTTGGTGGGGAGAGAACAAGCACCTAAAAGCTCCTAAAAACTATCAAGCCCTATATTAAAGTCTACCCTATAATAAGACTTCAGAAGTGTGTAGAACACTTCAGTTTGGGGTCACAGTTTTATACCCATTGGTTCAGTATATAAAAACAATGAAAAAAAGGAGAAAACCAGAAGATGTAAATCAACAAGCAAGAGTAAGTCTGCTAATTAGTTTAATTTGGTAGGTCACCTTACTGAATGACAGAAGTCAAATTTACAACCAAGAAAGTAAAGAATGTTTTTTATATAAATCCCAAGGTTATCTGATAACTACCTCAATTACTCCATTCAAAGACTGGTCCTCTTTGAGTGAGGCAAAGTAAAACACAGGCGATCGATAAATAAGTCACTAAGTATTTCACTAAATCTGTGTATTCTGGAAAACCTATTTTTAAAAATTATATACATGATTCAAGGCCCAAATGTCAAAAAACGAGTATCTTTATGTTTAAAATGTATATTCTATCTCCTCTAAGTTTAGTAATTCAAAATGTGGGGTATCTAGGAAATACGAAGTTTAGCTACTCCAACAAAATCACAAAGTATCTTGTAAAAAGTACTAAGATCGTGGGGCACCTGGGTGGCTCAGTTGGTTAAGCATCCGACTTCGGCTCAGGTCATGATCTCGCAGTTCGTGAGTTCAAGCCCCGCATTAGGCTCTGTGCTGACAGCTCAGAGGCTGGAGCCTGTTTCAGATTCTGTGTCTCCCTCTCTCTCCGCCCCTCCCCTGCTTGTGCTCTGTCTCTGTCTCAAAAATAAATAAACTATTAAAAAAAAAAAGTACTAAGATCGTGACATACAGGCCTGGGCCCAAAATATCTTAAAATGCAGTACCTCAAACCTAGGTCCTGACTTTTCAAAGATGTAAAATTAAAAGCAGAAACCAGACCGAAGGAGTCAAGAATAACTTCTTTTTTCACATAGATTCAGAGCCCCCAAATATGCACATTTTCACTCCTCAGACTAAAATGCTAAACTGTTCCCTTGGAGCCACAGCAGGTAAAGATCCCTGAAAAGGTTCGGCTCCAGGAACCTGCCAAACAGAGACGCAGCGCTGTGAAAACACAATGTGATGCAACCCAGGGCTCTTGGGCCGGTTTCCACGGGTGATATCTCCACCATATTCCGCCCCTCACCTGCTGGGTGGCCTACAGGAAGTCACTCGGCCTTTCTCGTCTGCCCCTTGTGTAACACGCCGACCGCAAGGAACCTAACTCGGGGAGCTGTTTGGAAGACGAGGCCATAAAAGAGCACATTCCGCGCTGCCAAGCACGGAGTGCTCGTTAAGTGTTAGGCGCCGCTCGGCCCGTCCCTGCTGATTCCCTTCCCGTCGTGGCTCCGCAGGCCCGCGGCGCGCATCAGTTGCACCTTCTGGACGCTCGCGGCTGCAGCTACGTCGAGCCAGGGCGGAGGACGAGCCCAAGTAATCGCCAGCCGCTCAGCCGAGGGCCGGCAGGACCCGCACCCGGGGCCCGAGGCACGGAGGGACCGGGGCTGGGCTTTCCCTCCGGCAAACAACAAGGCCACTTAGAGACGGATGAGCATTTGCGGACGGGCTGGCGAGAGAGAACCTGCTCAGAACTCTTGTCAGCGGGGAAGGGTCCCTGCTGAGCTGACCCCTCTTCGCCAGTCGGCCACAGGAGGGAAGCCTCCGCGAGCCCAGAGCCCCCGGAGACCCCCGCCCCTCTCTCCCTTACCCGGCTCTCCGTATGGAATGGTCTCTGCCCAGGCGCTCGGCTCCTCTTCCTGGATATCCAGGACCCTGTCGATGGACTTCTGGGCCTGGGACAGGGCCTGCTTCGCGAAGCTAGAAAGCTGGGAGGCGTTGAACCAACTCATCTCCCCTCCTCAGCCGGCAGTGGCGGCGGCAGCACCAAGCGGGAAGGCCGAGGGCCAGGCCGACTGGCCTGAAGCCCGGGGAAGGGTGCAGCGGAACGGCCTCGCCCCCTTCCTTAATCGGCGGGCCCGGTCAGCGGCGGGCCATGACCCTGACAATCTCCCCCGAGCCCGGGAGGGTACCCTCGCTCAGCCCTTCCCGCACAGCTGAGACGAAAGGCCCAGATTGCGCATGCGCTGGCTTCTTCCACGTACACAACCACCAAATCCGGGAGCCCAGAGTTCCGTCAATAGACGGAAGAAAAGGCGGAACTTAGACGTCACATCCGGTACCCGGAACTGGCCTTTAGTTACGGAGAACTCGGAACTGTTTCTGTCGGTAGTGCCTGCAGGGGTAGCGTGCAGGTCTAAGCCACCAGAAGCTCTGGGGCTACTAGAAGAGGTAGATTCCTCCGGGGGGCAAAACCACTTTTCACGTGGGTTTCCTCCCGGAAAACAGCTCGCGTACTAAAAACTAGCGTCTTGCCACTAAGGATTGCCGACAGGGGCGCCTAGATGATTCTGTAGGTTGAGCAACCAACTTCGGTTCAGGTAGTGACCTCATTGCTGGTGGGTTCGAGCCCTGGCTGGGGCGCTGTGCTGATAGTTCAGAGCCTGGAGCCTGCTTTGGAGTCTGTCTTGTCGGTCTCTCTCTCCACCGCTCGCGCGCTCTCTCAGAATGAATGAACGTTAAAAAAAAAAAATGCAAACAAAGGAAGTTTGGCTCTCACCTGTTAGTGCTTTGTCTCAAATATTTAATCAGTCCTTTGTTAATCTGGCCTAAATACTGGGCTTTGTATAAAAGGCCTGATCCAGCCCTCCTGATGACGTAAGTAAAAAGCTATCTTCTGCAAGGTGTCACAAGTCTGAATTTCTAAGGCACAACTTCCTCTTCACAATAGAAGTACGCACTCGGTCCCATTCAAAACAAACCTGAGAAGCCTAAAGCTATTACTCTATAAAAGTATGCTGTGGATATTATTTGAAATACAACTCTTTCTGGATTCACTTCTCAAACGTTTCCCTATGCGAAAAAATCAAATCTGGTCAGTGGCTATAGGATTTGGACTCCAAAGTGTTAAACGCGAAATTATGTCCACATTTGAAGTCGGATACAAAAATTCCAATTTCCAGATGACTGAAAAATATGGATACCAACAATTAACAGTCAGCCGAGGTACTTGCCACTTTTTAAATAATTTGCCACAAATATTATTAAACCTCTTTTATTTCCCTTCTGTGGTTATTTAGGTTGCCTGCCTATATTTTACCCCAATGCAAACAATTATGCCATGAAGAAAATTTCTTTTATTTAAAAGGAAACCAAATTTAAACTTTGCCCCTGAGGTTTTAATTTTCCAATACTTTGATCTAACCAGTAAAAATTTACATGTTAAAACTCATAAAATTTACTTAAAGTACTAAGTAATTCAGGTAACTAACTTAAAACAGCTTACATAAGTAGACTGAGGAGGAGGTTGGGGGGAGATTGATGCTGGAATCCCTGTTCCAAGATTTCTAATTGTACAATTTGGGATAAATGATGAAAACTTTCTAAAACATTTGAGTTCTCTGATGGAGGCATTATCACCTTCTCACACAAGGCTACTCTGAGGATTATTAGAACACCTGTGTAAAGGTGGTGCTAAATGTTAGTTCCTTCATATTCAGAGATTTAAACCAATTCTGTAACTTTTTAATTTAAAAAAGAAATGCTTATTTTTTGAGAAAGAGCGAGCAGGGGAGGGGAAGAGAGAGAGGGAAGGGACAGAGATCCAAAGTGGGCTCTGTGCTGACAGCAGAGAGCCCAATGTGGGGCTCAAACTCAGGAATTGTGAGTTCATGACCTGAGCCTAAACTGGATGCTTTAACTGACTGAGCCACCCAAGTACCCCTGAATCTCTAACTTTTTAAGTAACTTTAACTATGTATCTCATATGATTTTATAATGAAACAAATTCTAGGTATGGAGCTACAAAGAATAAAAATTTAACCTAGTGACATGTTATCATAAAGCTTTTGAATAGAAAACTACCATCTAAGTAAAAAACACATAGTGCATGTTCCCACATGGAGACACTAAAACTAATTTTTCAGTACTTACTTAATTTTGTTTTAAGGCTTAATTTTTTAGGGGGGGAAAAAGCATTTTAATGACTGTAATATAAAAAGATCCCATTTCATTACATTATTATGTGAGAGCAAATTAAATCAGTAGCTTTTTCTTGTGGTAAAAGAATTAATTCAGGTACCAGAAAAGTTTTGCATTAGTAATCCTGCTACACATTTAAAAATTATTCCAACATTACTATGGAACTACTTACTATCCCTAATATGCCTTAAAAATTTTCAGTGAGAAAAGTAGACAATATATGATTTTATTAATAAATAGTGTGAAAGCATCAGTGATAACTGTTTTAACATTAAATTCTTTTAAACATCCATGTCTTGGCTTTAATATTGTGCATATTGGCCTCTATGGCACTACAAGTAAACATGAAAATAGTTCCCATTTCCATGCACAGTTATTCAGCTATAACACCATTTACAAATTATTATGGACACGGTAACCTTTGCAATAATTAATATTCATTTGGACAACCACAATTAAATGAATATTAAATCAAGCAAGAAGTAGGCTATGTTCAATATGCTCTAGATGTCAGATTGTAATGTGTAATGTTATTTAAAACTTTATTTTCTAATTTTCTTTAAAGGGATATCTTTTCTATATGTGGGTGCTCAAATGAAAACTGAGGAATGCATTCTGTGACCACAATAATACAAGTCACACATAAAAGAGTGCTTGTCTCTTCCTCTAAAGAAATACATTTGCTCATTATCTCTCTCTCCAGGCATCATTTCCCATATTATTAATGAAAACGCTTACAAGTACCAACCCCGAAACTCTGTCTTCAAGGGTAAGTTATAAATTTAAAAAAAGAGTGGTTCTTTATATAAAAAAGTCAAATTCCAGCAACACTAACGCTAAAAATGACATTAAATTTTCTTAGCATACATGTAATATAATATTTCCATGAGTTTTCTATTATGTGCAGATTTATTTTCCTTAAGAAGTAAAATGAAGTTTGAATAGTACAGTCTGTGGTGTGGTGACATCAGCAACTGCCAGTTCTTGCCCATCAACGAGTCCCAATTCTGTAATAGAAAAAGTGTAATTAACCGAAGAAAAAAAAAATCTCAAACATCACACACACATATCCAAACCCATAGTTTTAGGTCTAGATAAACATCAAAATCCAATTCTCTTCAGTCAAGGTGATACTATATTTGATTTCTTACAGTTTTTTTTAATATTCTACTAAAAGAGCAATTCTATTATTGTTTCTAAAGATATAATTAAAATGAAATCATCATTTAAAGGCATTACCAAGAATAAGTATTTATTACTTTTACCAAGAGGAAAAAAAAAAAGAAACTCATCAGTAAATATACTCATTTAAAATAGCTTTTGGGACACCTGGGTGGTTTAGTTGGTTAACTGCCGGACTCTTGATTTAGGTTCAGGTTATCTCATGATTCGAAAGTTTGAGCTCATCCGGCTCTGTGCTGACAGCATGGAGCCTGCTTGGGATTCTCTCTTTCTCAAAATAAATAAATAAACGTTTTTTTTTTTTAAATCTTTAAAATACCTTTCAATGTCTTGGAGAGATTTGGCCTTGTTCGTTCTTCAATAGAGGTTACTGACTAGAAAACAAAATTATTATAATGTAAAGCACGTTAAATGAAATTAAAATTATAATAAAAAAAAACTTTTAATATAGTTTTGTGAAAAAAAAAACAAAAAAAACAACCAAACACTGATTACCTGTAAGTAAAGTGTTCTGTTTTTTCCCTCTAATGTGGCTGTGATGGCTGGAGATTTCATCTGCCTAAATTATGATAGGGAAAACAAAATAAAACAAAAAAGTCATAGGTCACTTCTTGAAAAGCAATTTTAGTTTTTAAAGTTTTAAAATCACAAAAATTATTTCTACAACAAAACAAAAATCCAGAGAATTCACTTACAGAGAAGCACTGTTGGTTAAATAATCCAAAACCTCCTGCAGTTTAGCAGATGGAGAAAACTGAATATTTTGAGGAAGCTGGCTACAAGCTGGGCAGTTTTCCTACACACATAAAACACAATAAATCACAGAGGCATATGCACCAATAATAATTTATAAATATGAAATGAAAATCAACTTGTTTTGTAATCATATTTCCTACAAATTTTTATACTTTAAAATCTGCTTTTGGGGGCACCTGGCTGTCTCAGTCAGTTAAGCGTCTGACTTCGGCTCAGGTCATGATCTCACGGCTCATGGGTTTGAGCCCTGTGTCGGGCTCTGTGCTGACAGCTCAGAGCCTGGAGCCTGTCTTTGGATTCTGTGTCTCCCTCTCTCTCTGACCCTCCCCTGCTCACGCCTTCTCTCTGTCTCTCTCTCTCAGAAATAAATAAAACATTAAAAAATTTAAAAAAATAATAAGTTCATTAAATAAAATCTGCTTTTTATAACAGTCCTGTTTTCCTACATTATTTTGCTACACAGTATTTATTTTAGGCTATACTGCAAAAGATATATAGTAAGTAGGGTTCTCGAAGTTAAAAAATACTCAGGATGTGGACAATATCATTCATATTTCTAACCAGTAATGAATATGCAAAAATCAAACTATGCGTGATCAAACAAGGTCTCGTTAGTGTAATAGCACTGACCTTTCTCTCTGCTTCAAATGTGTACGTGTACAGTCCATCTACATCATTGAATACCAAGTAATTATTAAGGGGAATATATGCACTGTAATGAAAAAATGTTCACCTTTATACAAGTGAGCCAAGTCAAAACACAGATTTACAAACAGATTAAAAAATAAAATCCATTACCTTGTAGCTATTTTAAAAACCTCAGTGGCACACACAGCTGAAGAGGGGAGAAAATAAAGGTGCTTCAACTCAATGAAAATTAGATATTTAAAATTACAAATTTTTTAAAAGGTCAGTTATAAATCGTAACAGATATATAAGGCTATTGCTTAAAAAAAGAGATATATATATATACACATACATACACACTTTTTAAAATACTGAGACGTAACCAATTTTATATTTGTTTTATATAATCCAAGTAACAGTAGCATTTCATGTTTTCCTTCCTCTTCTTTAGATTAATGAGCAACCTGTTATACTGATTAAAAGATACTG